ATGTACACGTCTCTTCGCACGCAGGGTTCCGGTGTCCCAACACGTCTGAGTTCCACGCGATGGCGTCGTCGCTCGCGGCAACGCCCGAACTCATCCTGATGGAGGGCGGCCGCAACGACCTTCACCAGCGCGTCCGTCTCAACGTCAGCGCAGACGACGTTCATGTACGCGCTGATGGGAGGCGCAGACGACATGATGTCATAGACGATGCGATGATGTTCATAGAGGGCAGACGACGATCATGTACGCACTGAGGAGGCGCCAGAAAGACATGATGCTCATCTCATAGACGATGCGATGATGTCATAGAGGGGCAGACGACGTCATGTACGCGCTGAGGGAGGCGCAGACGACATGATGTCATAGACGATGCGATGATGTCATAGAGGGGCAGACGACGTCATGTACGCGCTGAGGGAGGCGCAGACGACATGATGTCATAGACGATGTGATGATGTCATAGAGGGGCAGACGACGTCATGTAAGCACTGAGTGAGGCGCAGACGACATGATGTCATAGATGATGCGATGATGTCATAGAGGGGCAGACGACGTCATGTACGCACTGAGGGAGGCGCAGATGACGTGATGATGTCATAGACGATGCGATGATGTCATAGAGGGGCAGACGACGTCATGTACGCACTGAGGGAGGCGCAGATGACGTGATGATGTCATAGACGACGCGGTGATGTCATAGACAATGAGATGATGTCATAGAGGGGCAGACGATGTCATCTACGCGCTGAGGGAAGCGCAGACGACGTGATGATGTCATAGACGACGTCGTGATGTCATAGTCGATGAGGTGATGTCATAGACGATTCCATGATAAGGGGGAAAAGAATCATGGGGGAAAGGTGAGCAACTGAAAGGGAAGCAGTAGGAAAGTGGCAGTGAAATGATATTGGGAAGGGTGAGGAAATGGTAGAGGAATGGCAGGTGGAAGGGTGCATGCTTGGCCCTGACATGCCAGCGCTTTCCTAAGAATCCAAGTTACCATTACCCCAATATTCTGATTTATTGTATATAGATTCGACAGCTAGGCTGTTACTTCAAGCATTTGCACCCTTCACCCACCGAAAATAACTAGGTGCCAAAATAACTTGGCTAGTTTTATATTTTAACACCAGGGGGTGTTACTTGGGCCTACAGGCTTTTTTTTATAGGGAATTACATTCCACGGCAGCCCTTGGGAGTTCCGGTGTGTTGCGTGTTGTATGTGTTTGCATTTATTTCTCGTTTATTAATAAACAATCTAATCAAAACTTCAAATAATAGTCGAAAGAATTTTTTGTGAGTTTTAAAAATCATTTACTACTGATCAGATCTCAAACTAAACCAACTAAGTTTGTAATCTGTGTATATATACATATACACACATTATATGTACATACATACACATACACATGTACACATACATAAAACACAAGACATCTCAACCATGCGCGATGGACAAAAATTGCTGGCAAGACTTGAGAGCTGAAAACAGATACGAGAATTTCACTCGAAAGACAACCGCCGAGTAATTACGCCTAATTAACGACTAATTAAGTCTCGTTAAAGCGGGGGGGGGATGATTCGGTAGTCTCGGCGTATGATCTGCTAGCTAATGAGATGGCTAACGAGACGTATGGAAACCTGGCACTGACTGGCCTCCTGGAGTTGGTGCGGAATCTCTTGTGGGCTGTGCTGCCCGTACGCGGCCACGCAAAGCCGGAATTAACGTGGAAGTGGCGATTCCGGAAGTACGACGGAACGCCGCGAGAGCCGGATGCATCACGGCCGGGGTAGACAGGCGGAAAATATCCGGAATCATACGGTCGGCAGCTGGCTAGCTCCAACTTCTCTTCCTGGATCATCCCACATCGCTGGGATGCCGTGCGGTTGCCGTGGCGACCGTTACCATGCCTACTAGCACAGCTTCTGCTCACTGAGCTCTAATCGCTGTCGGCGCTTCGCTGGGTGATGGAACGCGGCACTGTCGCGGCGAAGACCGTCGCCGCTGGTTGATCGGGTTACGCAGTATGGTCGCCATGACGACCGTCACCATAGCAACGGTTACCACGCCTTCTCCTTCAACTTCTGCTTGCTGGCCTCGCGTCGTCGCTGGTTGATCGGGTTACGAGGATCCGAGATCTCGAAGGCGTCTGCTTCGTGCACGTTCACGTCTCGCACCTTGCCCTCGTGCGCCTCAAACTCCAGCCGGTGATGCATCCTGTAACCACGGCAACGGACGTTACGCGGACGACGAGGCGGGCGCGAGTTTGGCACGCCAGGTGGCGCAGCGAGCAATGAGCGATCTTATAATGTATATTATATATATAATATCAGGCGGCTCACTCACCATCCCTCATCGTTGTCGTCGTCATTGTCGTCATCGTCGTCGTCGCCGCCCCCGGCAACCGCAGAATCATCGTCGGCTGCCGGTTCGTTCGCCTCCTGCAGCTTCTGTTGGAATTTTTTCAGTAGCGCGAGAGTCTGAAACAATCGGCATTAACCTGCGTGAGTATGACTCTGCATGCTGATTGGACGGTTGGTTGGCGGATTGTCCAATCGCAAAAATGCTGATGAGCGACAACACACGGCAGCCATATCGATCGACCCAGTTGGAATCGTTAACGAGCTTAACGATTATTAGTATGACAATTTTCGTTGCGGTGTGCATTGGAACAATTTGTCATTGCTTACTAACGATTTGATTTGATAGCTAGTAGCTCTATTATATAGCTTCATAGCTTTTTCGGCTTTAATTAGTTTAGCCGCCATATTGTTGGAACAGGCATCAGTTTTAAGCATGTTTAATGTTACGACCTACGTCAGAACAATGCCAAACCTCATTGTAAACGCTTACTAATGATTTGACTTTTGGTTCGACCAACATGACCGACCTACTCGCATCTCTAGTCATAACGACACACAGTGGTAGTGTAATGCCCACAGTGAGCTATTGGGGTAAGATATATATACTATATAGAGATATATACTATATAAGATATATATATATATATACTATATAAGATATATATACTATATAGAGATAAGTGACACGGTGTCGGTCGATCGACGAGCAGAAGTGACGTTCGCTTGTCATCAAACATGGCCGCCCGTTACCTGCTGCTCTCTCGCTCCCTTATCCTTCGCCAGCTGCTTCTTCTGCTGCTTGTACTTGTTCCTCTGCCTCTTTATGTCTGCCAACATCTCATTGTCTCCCTCGTCACCTGCTAGAGAATCACGGACACAAATTAATTCGTGTCAGACGACCGAAAGCGATAACGACGCCACCTGCAGGTCAATTACTGAAAAATTTCAACGAGCAGGTGAAATATTTTGTTGTATTTCTTAAGTCATTGACTTGGGATTCATGACGGGTTGACAGCCTAAGCTAATTATGTAATATATAATAATTAAATAATAAAAAATAATAAAAAAAATGAACATCTATCGTCAAAACTGATGATATGATAACAATACGCTAACTATGATATGGTGTCTATGAGTAATCAGTAGCTGGTAGACATCACGTGTAGGTGCAAAGCAGACACGATACCCTGTGTCATATGTCACACATATTCCTCCTCTAGCTTTCTCACCATCGTTGTTCGTGTCCGCTGCCACCTCAGGTTTCTCCTCTGCTGGCGCACCGGCCCTCTCTCTCTTGAGCTCTTTTCTAAGCTCCTTTGCCTCTTTCTTCAAAGATTCTCTGACAAAGAAAGATGCAAGACATGAGACGTTGTAACAAGAAGTGAGATTCCAAACATTGTAACACGTAGATGCAGAATAGGTGTACGTTCAATCTGATAGCTAAATTACATTCAATTGGAGTTTATATATTCGCGCGGTTTTCTAAGAGAACAATGTTTACATAGGGTACAGCTGTAGTATGTAGTAACTAAGTAAGAATGTATTTTCTGTATTTTCATTTTTAGTTTTTCACTGAATAAACTACTGACAACGAGACCTCCTGTCTTTCGTCTCTATCTGATGACAGTAAAAGAAGTGTGATGTTATAATGAGAAATGCGACATTCTAACAATATGTGAGACATTGCAACAAGATGTGAGACATTGTAACAATGTGTGAGACATTCTAACAAGAAATGACATTGTAACAAGATGTGAGACATTCTAACAATATGTGAGACATTCTAACAATATGTGAGACATTGCAACAAGATGTGAGACATTGTAACAAGACACGAGACACTGCACCAAAACATGAGACAATGTAAAGAGATGCGAGGTGTGGAGAGTCGAGACACTGTGATGAGAGAGAGAGAGAGAGAGAGTTGCTCACAATTCTGCCTTCCTCTTCTTCTTCTCGTCTGCAAAAAGTTCCACAGGTTCGTGTCCCTCTTCCTCCACCACGTCCTTCTTCAGCTTCTTGCGGATGCGCGACGAAACCTTATCTTCCTCTTCCTCATCCGCAGCTTCCTGCAATAAGTACACACGTAAATTACACGGTGCAACTTTAACTCTGCCTTCATGATACCTCATCTGCTGAATTGTTAAATCTTTTTTTCTATTACTTTGTTTTATCCTGATTTGTCCTTTTCTATTCTACCAGCAAAAGCAACACGAGGGTCGATTTGTTATTACTGTTATATTGAATGTAGCTGTGGACAGTAATTTTTTACCTCTTCCTACTAACCACGCGCCTTTACGCATTTTCTTACCTCTCCCTCCGAGTCGCACGTCTTCGCGTGTTTTCTTACCTCTCGCTCACAGTCGCGCGTCTTCGCGTGTTTTCTTACCTCTCCCTCTGAGCCGCGCCTCTTCACGTGTTCACTTGTTTCGACGGCAGGTACAGAGCTGAGTCTATCGTCGTTTGCGAGATCATGTGCGCTCTTACTCTTGACCTTCCTCTCCTGAGCGAGAAAAATACGATAATACAATCAATGTAATGTTGATATATAATATATTACATATCAATATTATATTGATCGTAACCGATGCAATTCGCACAACGGTGATTAAACGATGATGAATAAATCTAATCCGTACACATCTAGCAACTGGCGTTTCACGGCTAGAGAGGCAATTATGGGGATTAGCAGACCATGCATGGAAGTAATGAACGAGGGATGCACAGAGGAGAGGTAGCAAATGAGGGATGCATTGGGAGGATGGGAAGATAAATAGAAGATGCTCTGACCTTGGCAGCCTCCATCAGGGCTTCTTCTTCCTCCTCAGCCTCCTCCCCAAACGACAACAAACTGAAGTTCCTGTTCAAAGAAAAAACCGCAGGATACATCAGTTGTGAAAATAGATCGGAGATGAAAATCCCATAAAATCCACATTTACTATCTATTATTGTTAATATTTATATCGTTATTATTATTATTATTATCATCATTATCATTATCATCATCATTAGTATTATTATTATTATTATTATTATTATACTGCAAAATTTACGACATCTCAGTGACCCGATCTACCAAAGGCACAATCAATAAGTAGCAGAGCTGTGCGACCGTGCCACGCGACCAACGAGCAGCTAATGAAGATGCTAATTAACACACACCTCTAATTGGATTATCGCACGTGCGCGGGAGATAGAGCCTGTAACGACTATAGCTCGCACGTATAACGATCCATGTTCGCCACGCATCCCGCGATTGATCTCACTCTCGCTGTACGACAATCACGAGGAATACATTCTCACGCTTACTTGGTCGCCTTCGACCTGCTCTTGTGTTTTCTCTCGTCGCCCTCTTTTCTCCTCGCGAGCGATCTTGGAATGATGTCATCATACGGGTTTCCCAGTACCTGAGATAGTGAGCGTGACAGTGAGAGGTGGACGCGCCAATCATTCTCCCAGTGCCCTTACCCAAACAAACGTTTTCTGAGTAACTTGATTTTTTTGTTTCATTGCAACTATATATCAGGAGTGAATAAACACAAATGTTGATAGATTTGTTTTTATTCATTTCTGATTATATTACATTAGGGGGCAAATGATCATCAGGGGCAAATTAATATTATATATAGTAAATGTCATGTATTATTACCATTATTATTATTATTATTTTATGTTGCTATTGATGTTTTTTAGATGACAGGAATTGAGAATGAATTTTTCAACATTTGCCAATTAATTTCATATTTCGTAAAATCAATTTTAAAATCAGAGTAAAATTTCAAATTCAATTTCCAAATCTGACACAATGGTCGATCACAATGTGGCACAGGGATTACATAGTTAGCGCAAGCTGATAATTTCATGCAGACCATCGAATGGCACTACCTGCACATAGCAACCATTCTCTCCTGATTACACGTAGTTACATTGTTATGGGTACAGCACGCGAGGAGTGTTTTTGCTTTCGCTTCAGACACACTCACCTCTGTCGTGACGATTCTGGCGGGATACAGCGGCCTATCATCTCTGTCCACCTCCACGTCTCCCAACTTCGGCAGGTTGTAGACCGTGTTACCGCCACCTGGAACCACGGAACACCCCCCGGGTAACAGGTGGCGCCACCGAGCAGAGGTTGGCAGCATTAAAGTGAGGTTTAAGTTAGGCTTTCTGACCGTCTCGTATTATCCCCGACCATTAATATTATATTAACTTAATTAAATACTTACCATACCAGTATACTTAATGTACCATTATATTACTTAATATTACTATTGTATTACATAGTATCAGGTAGCTATACCATTATATTACTTACTATACCATTATATCACTTGATTTACTTTTTATTTTTACTTTATTGATTGTGAAGTACTGGACATGCCCACAGACTCCTCACACCTATAAGCGGGCAATTATTATCCCCTTAACGCGAAACAAGTGAACGTGCGCGCAGTCACCTTTCCGAAGACGGGTGTGTTTGTTCTGCAGCTCAGGGGTCTGTTCCCAGCGTGATGAAAAACTGGCTGCCATTGTCGGTCAGTCCGAATTCGCCATGGCAACGAGACCGCGTCGCACGAAGCGCAGTCTCTGATGAAACTCATCCTGCGAAATATTTTGGTGCATTTAAAAAAACAGATCACCATATTTTACCAAGAGGGAATTCGATTAGTACGAATAGATGATAGTAAATGCACATAATGTATGAGACAATATAATAACACTATTACATGTCCAGCCTTTGTTAGCAGACACCTTAACAGAATGCCGCACCCAGTCTATAAACTATAAAGGACACTTGTATTTTCTTCACGTGGAAGTTATACATAGAACCAGCCTCTATAGTATGAACACCTACCTGCTATAACAAGAACACATTTGTGGATTTTCTTTTAATGATTCTTATATACATGTCTGACTGTTATATCGAATATGATACCTTGAAAGGTTGTCCGTAGATCGACTCTCCCCCGCTGCCTGTGCCCTGTCGGGTCACCACCCTGTCAACGATGAAATCTTCACCACTCTACGGAACAGAATCACACCAGGACGATTGCTAACAGCAAGCAGATATACCGTGCTGTGGTTTTCTTCGCTAACCCAGTGAACTGGAATCTGGCATCTGCGAAAGTTTCACTGCGTAGCCACGCGCTTACCGTGATAAATAACGCAGGGCTATAGCTAGCCATGGGGTTGTGACCTAGCTGGGCCGGAAAGCAGCCGTAGTTAGCTTTTAGCCGAAATGGCACCTGAGGGTGGCAGAGCCAGAGTTTTTTTGCCACCCTGCGCTAGAAAGGAACTTATTGAACAAGCGGAGTTCAACGACTCCCGACCCTCAAAAAAAGAGGGATGTCCGCAGCAAAATGAGGAAAGTCGCAGTCTGAGTCCGTATCAAAATTAAAGATATTAACAATAACGCATGTGCTTATTTTTAAGATTCTTGATCTTTAAGATTTACGATCTTTTACGATGTTTACGATCTTTTACGATGTTTTACGATGTTTACGATCTTTTACGATGTTTTACGATCTTTTACGATCTTTACGATGTAAGATTTACGATCTTGATCTTTAAGATCTTTAAGATCTTTAAGATCTTTAAGATATTTAAGATTTAAGATTTAAGATCTTTAAGATCTTGATCTTTAAGATTCTTGATCTTTAAGATTTAAGATTTGATCTTGATCTTTAAGATTTTTAAGATTCTTTTAAGACATTGGCACGTCTGCCAAATGTTTTTTGGACATTAGCTGAACAAATACAGTAATTCCGTGAGGCCGTGCTCCGGAACGAACTAGTTAGTATGACAGAACTCTAGTAGTAGTCTCTAGTCTCTAGTTAGTAGAGCATGCACCCTAACCCTAACCTCACCTACTCCACTAACGAGTCTAGGGGAGTCGCCCTACGCCTACTCCCTAACCCTAACCATATCAGATAGTTACCATGCAGGGTACGTTTCTGCAGTACCCTGGGGGACATAGACCCTATGAGCCTTACTGTGATATACCTCGGATATTACTATACCTGTGGAATATAGTGCCGTCATAATATCCTTCCATGCATAACTGGACGAAATTTCTGCATGCTTTTGGAGCCTCTTTGGACCACAATTCGATTTCGATTTCCCCACATGATGTATGCAGCAGAACCTGTCGCCGATTACAAAACAATTGGCTACATAACTTAATATTTGAATAGCGCATGCGGCAGGAACACCACATAAACAAAATTATTGCTACCCACTTACATACTAGCATTTATTTGTATCCGAGCACACACAGCAGTGTCGCTGAGCGCCGGTCGTGGCTCGTATCAGGTACTACATATTATGCTACCCGACTGTACGTATCATATATGTATACATACACAAGCTGCTATTTTTCTTTCTTTTCCAAAGACTTGTACTAAAGAAGGTGGAGGCCTAACCCGTAACCCTAAACACAGGTACATAATATATGCTGCAGAAGATACAGCGTCTGGTAATAGTATACATAACGTACCTCGGCGTACAGATCTGCTCAAGTACCTCATACGACAAACGACCCCTTCAGCAGCAGTGTCCAGTTGCTCAACAACAACAGCTTGTCACGCAAGCGCTTTCAATAACCACTGGCAGCAGGAACAAGTCCGCCACCTACAGCTACAGCACACACGCATCTATTTACTATATATAGACAACGTTAGTCAATAGTGCAAATCCACTTGAGGCACCTTAGGTATTCACGAAGTGATCTCCACTCTGCGGACAGCGCTTCATACTGCAACATCCCCCGGCGTCCGCCAGCTTGCGGCATATCCCGCGGAACTGCGCGTCTCAGCCGCACGCACATGCTTCAGCCGATCAACAGCCAAAGCGGCCGTGCCACGCCAATCTTGTATCAATGTCTCTCGTGGCCTTAACACTACGTTGTCCTACGCACGTGCTAAACTTAGTGAGAGCCTGGTTGGTTTAACCCTAACCCTAACCCTAACACATTCTTCGTGAACCTAAGGCTAAGGAGTAAGGTTATACTTTATGACTTAGCCGTCTCCTAGGGTTAGTGCGTTTTTTTTTTTTTTTCTGCATCATCCTTTGATATACGGCAAAGTCTGTGCATCAGTTGATGATACATAGAAAGTCTGTGCATCACTTCGCTGATACCTAAGGTCGCCTAAACGTGGATTTGCGTGAACTATATTAAGTTACTTATATATTATAACAAGATTGTGATTTGCTGGATGCTAATTCGTGTACTACTTTGTAGTGCGATAGATGCAGGTGTGCTGTAGCTGCAGGTGCGGACTTGTCTTTTGTTAGCCAGTGGCTTTAACGAGCAAAACAACGCACTTTAGGCCCGTTGCAACTTTTATTAATGTCAACGTACCTTCCCGTTTGTTGGTGGTTCTTGTATGTAAATGTTACTCATCTTATAATAAACAATAAATTACAATATAATTATAACTCAGCAACCACAAGTTACAGTTCTTCGATCACTGCATGGCAGCGCCACCGCTTGGTTCATCGATAGAATTTCGCCCTGGCCGTTTTATTTTATGTGACACTTGCACACATAAATTTCCCAGAGTACACTGCGCTCGACGTAGAGACGCAGCCAAATTTCGAGCATGGCAGTCGTCAGCTGAAAATAAGCGCACTGGTTCTGGACATTTCTCTGTGCAAATCAGTGACGCTTCAAGGCTCTGCTAGTATTCGCCTCGTTTAGCGTGAAATGCAGTCCGTCGTAAAATATGGCCGGTACATCGTAAGGGCGCTATCGGGAGTAGCCGTAGCCGAGGTTCCGGTCAAACATTTTCGCCTAGTGTCAGCTGCGAGTGGAGTCGCCAAGGACAAAGGTGTCAAAGCAACAGTGGCCGCTCTCACCGTACGTAGGAATGTAAACGGCGACGATGCACACTTCATCGCATCGAATAGGGTCTCGGACGTATTAGGTAGGTTACGGTTTGAGTCAGTTACTGAGTTAGCTATGTGCGAGTGAGGGCCTAACTGGCTACTTAATACTATTAGTATTACAGTATTAGTATTACTAACTTACTAGGCCTACGTAGTCAACGTCGTTGACGTTGGTTGTTGTTGTTTACTGTGTTTATATTATAATGTACACACTCACACAGTAACACTTGGCCACGACCCACGTTACCTTCTGGCTTCTCACTAGGCCTACATAGAGAACGAAGTGCACTCCTACGACGTGAAACAGTCGTAGAGTAGAGTTGTAGGTTTGGGCTAAAGCAAAGCCAAAGGGGTGGACACACTAGGCGATTTTCCGTGCGGTCGAGCCCCCCGGCTAAAATCGCCTAGTGTGTCCGGTGAGTCGTGGTCGATTTTCGAGTCGGCCGGCTGAGTCGCGCGACATACAATGCGCGCCCAAACAATGCAATACTATACAATGCGACTATACAATGCTCTACTACGCGCGCCCGGATGTACAATTCATCAGCCAATCAAATGGTTCCCTTTTCAATCATGTGACTATCATCACCATTCAGCCGGGCGGCTCAATCGCATGAAAAGTCGGCTATAGTGTGTCCACCGATAGTCGCCCGATTCAGCCGGGCGGCTCAATCGCATGAAAAATCAGGTAGTGTGTCCACAGCTTAAGCGACACTGTACTGTGTACTCGTACTCGCATGTATTCGTTGCGACCCCGATTTTATGTTGTCGGATTATACTGAGGACTGTTGCTACTGTTTACAGTAATGTTGACATTGGTATGTGGTCTCCAATTGTACGTGTGTGTTCTGTCTGCACCAGCACACACAAATATTCATACAATTACAATGATGACACAATTACGCACGCACAAACGCAAGCACATGATACGCTTGTATAAATAACACAGAGATTCTCAGGCGCACATGTGTAGGCGGACGCATGCACACACAAGTCAAACATTTGCATGTTTATCAGTGATTGAGTACCTAACACTTCCTGCTGCCTTATCTTCCGCTACTACAAAGTAACAAACTGGTAAATGTACAACGTCGATAGCGGTACTCGTACAACTATCGTAGCCCTTATTGAGTAGCAAGTGTTTGCGTGGGACGAATATTAATTCCGATGGATGTAATCAAGAGCATATATAAAGAAGGGTGCTTCTTATATCCTTCTTTATATATATGCTCTTGATGTAATTCAACTCCGATCCCAATTTTCTGTGGCAAGGTCGTGAGATCCTAAATTAGGATCCTAGTGCTTTAAAGCAATATAAATACAGCTCTGCAGTATATTAATCAGGTGATGCTAATGGCATGGGCCAGTATGTACTGCCAGAGTAGCTGAGATGCTTTTAAAATGTTGAAGGTCATAAAGGATGAAGTTTGGAGCCCGTAAACAAAGTAGTCTATCTAGAGTACCGAAGTGTGACGTCACGTTGGCAAGACAACGAAGAATGAATTTTTCAACATTTGCCAATTAATTTCATATTTCGTAAAATCAATTTAAAAATCAGAGTAAAATTTCAAATTCAATTTCCAAATCTGACACAATGGTCGATCACAATGTGGCACAGGGATTACATAGTGCAAGCTATACTGGATACATACTGGATTACATAGTTAGCGCAAGCTGATAATTTCATGCAGACTACGGATGGCACTACCTGCACCTAGCAACCATTCTCTCCTGATTACACGTAGTTACATTGTTATGGGTACAGCACGCGAGGAGTTTTTTTTGCTTTCGCTTCGAACACACTCACCTCTGTCGTGACGATTCTGGCGGGATACAGTGGCCTATCATCTCTGTCCACCTCCACGTCTCCCAACTTCGGCAGGTTGTAGACGGTGTTACCGCCCACCTGGAACCACGGAACACCCCCCGGGTAACAGGTGGCGCCACCGAGCAGAGGTTGGCAGCATTAAAGTGAGGTTTAAGTTAGGCTTTCTGACCGTTCTCGTATTATCCCCGACCATTAATATTATATTAACTTAATATAATACTTACCATACCATTGTATACTTAATGTACCATTATATTACTTAATATACTATTGTATTACATAGTATCAGGTAGTATACCATTATATTACTTACTATACCATTATATCACTTGATTTACTTTTTATTTTTACTTTATTGATTGTGAAGTACTGGACATGCCCACAGACTCCTCACACCTATAAGCGGGCAATTATTATCCCCTTAATGCGCGCCGCGAAACAAGTGAACGTGCGCGGCAGTCACCTTTCCGAAGACGGTGTGTTTGTTCTGCAGCTCAGGGGTCTGTCCCAGCGTGATGAAAAACTGGCTGCCATTGTCGTTCAGTCCCGAATTCGCCATGGCAACGAGACCGCGTCGCACGAAGCGCAGTCTCTGATGAAACTCATCCTGCGAAATATTTTGGTGGCATTTAAAAAAACAGATCACCATATTTTTACCAAGAGGGAATTCGATTAGACGAATAGATGATAGTAAATGCAATAATGTATGAGACAATATAATAACACTATACATGTCCAAGCCTTTGTTAGCAGACACCTTAACAGAATGCGCACCAGTCTATAAACTATAAAGGACACTTGGTATTTTCTTCACGTGGAAGTTATACATAGAACCAGCCTCTATAGTATGAACACCTACCTGTCTATAAAGAACACATTTGTGGATTTTCTTTTAATGATTCTTATATACATGTCTGACTGTATATCGAAGTTGATACCTTGAAAGGTTGTCCGTAGATCGACTCTCCCCCCGTGCCTGTCCCTGTCGGGTCACCACCCTGAACGATGAAATCTTTCACCACTCTACGGATACAGAAATCACACAGACGATGTAACAGCAAGACAGTATACCGTGTGTGGTTTTTTCTTACGCTAAAGTGAACTGATCTGG